TAGAGGAATCAAAAGGTAATTGGCCAGAAGTGTTACCTGGTGTTTTATGGGCATATCGCACAACCGCAAAAACAAGCACAGGAGAAACACCATTTTTGTTGGTTTATGGAGCAGAAGCTTTAATTCCCGTTGAGATAGGAGAGCCAAGTACGAGGTTTACGCAGGCAACAGAAGAGTCTAATGACGAAGAAATGCGTGTAAATCTTGATTTACTTGAAGGAAGACGGGAAGCTGCATTAATAAGAATGACAGCACATAAGCAAGTCATAGAACGATACTACAACCGAAGAACACGCCTCAGATTCTTCAAAATTAGGGACTTCGTGCTCAAAAAGATTTTCCAATCTACGAAGGCAGCTAATGCGGGTAAATTAAGTCCAACATGGGAGGGACCCTATAGAATTCATGATATTGCAGGTAAAGGAGCATATGAACTGGAAACAATGGATGGCAAAATACTACCTTCACATTGGAATGCTGTTCATTTGAAGAGATACTACTTCTAAGGAATACCCACGGTCAGATATCTATGTTTTAAAATTCTATTTTCGAATTGTTAAAATTTTACTAACGATTTTAGATGATAGGCAAAAAGCTAGCCCATACTAAATGATGAGCCACGATCTGCAAGGCACGTGGAATACATTAAACTTCCTGGCCTAGGGTTACAAATATTCTGATAGAAATTCAAAATGGGTTAAGCAGTCTTTATCTATAATCGCACCTCCGAGTCCCGTATATTATTCCTTTTTCAGGGAAAGGACCAAATGAGAGGAATAATCAAGTGCTCGAGGCTTCATACTTCAACACTCAAACACTTGGGGGACTACATAATATACACAAGGCATGTGTATAAAGAAGGCAAAGAAGTCAAGTGCAGAGTAAAAGTCACGAAGTCACGAACTAAGGCCAAAGAAAACCTTACTATAGTTAGGGTAAATGCTATGTACTGAAACAGGTTATAAATAAAAACCCCGTGTTTATTATTTTTACTTTTTTAAATCTGTTACAAGAAAAACAGTTACGAGAAAGTTATAGATGTAATTCAAATGCATGTAAAGTGTTATTCAAAACTAGACAAGGTTCAAATAAAAACTTGTCAAAGTTATTTCAAAGAAACATGTGTGTTCCTATTTCTTTTCCTGTATGTTAATCACCATTATGAAGTTGAGACGTCTTCTTCATTAAATGTTGAATATAAAAGGGTCCTCTTCTATAAAACTTATGTTTAAATTAATTAGTCATAAGTTTAACAGAAGCATTTTTGAAGAATAAAAATGCAAATTATTCTGTAAGACTTTAGAAATAAAGGCAAGAATAAAGTAAACAGAAGTTCAAGATAATAACAAAAGAACTTCTTAATATTTAAAAAAAAACTTAAGACTAAGTACGTACTTAGTTGTAAAGCTATGAATTGTTTGTACAAATTGCCCCATGAAAAGGTCTGGGGACTTGCATTTCCAAAATAAACCCTCAAATGAAACCAAGGGTTTGATCACAATTTTCCAAATAAAACAAAACAAAGATATTCAAATAACTAAAGCTGGTCACTGAGAAGTTGAAGGTACTGAAGCAGGAGTATCAATAGTTGCGGGCTCAACTTGACTTGCAGCAACAGGCTCGACTAGGCTTGAAATAGTTGGGATACCCGTATCGACTTCAATATTCACGGAAGCTTTGGCCTCGAGAGAAGGAAAATCTTGAGTTTGCTGAGCTTTCTCAATAGTTTCATTGATCTTAGCCAACTCAGATTCCAAGTTGAATTTTTCTTGGCCAGCTTCAAGTAGGATATCACGGCGTGAATTCAAAAACCCCCAACTTACTTCAATAGCAGATTTATCTTCAAGGATCTCATAATCCCTTTCCCAGTCAGCTATCTCGGTCTTTAACTTTTCATTTTCAGCCAAGGCAGATGTGTAAGAAGTCTGGAGAGAGGCATGGGAGCTTTCTAAAGCACGCACCTTATCAGAAGAAGCTCGAAGGTCTTCTTGTGCCTGAGTCAAATTTTGTACGAGCTCCCCAGCGTAAGCTTCTTTTTTACTCAAAAGAGCCTTCAACTCTCTGATTTCTTCACTAGCCTTGGACAGCTACTCTGAGAAGGAAGTTTCAAGGCGAGTTTTTTCTTTATCTGTTTGGCTTGAGGAAGCCTTTTCAACCGCCAACTCCGAAGTCAAAGCCCGTACCTGCTGCTCTAAGGTATTCTTACTCTCTTCTAAATACTCCACATCAATTTGCAAGCTCTCAAACTGTTCCCTCCAATTGCACGCCTCTAACTTGAGAATCACACACTAATTGATCTGAGTGGGCAACTCTTTTCATCATCTCTGTGCCGATAAGGTTGGCCTAAAAAGGGGAAAAGGAAATAAGAATCCTCAAAATAGAAAAAGAAAAAAGAGAAAGGGAATACCTTCAAAGTGGCATGCACAATATCGTTCATGAGGGTCAAGGAGTTATGGCTCTCTAGCTTAGCTTTCTCAATTGGGCCAATTAAAGGCTCTAGCCATACATCCGCTTGACCTGATTTCCTTAAGAGACTGCCCTCAACAGGGACTTCAATGACTACTCGGCTCATAGCAACACTCCTACTTGAGGAACCAACTTCAGTGCGATGAATGTTTGGAGGAGGAATTGTCGAAGGAGGAACAAAAGAGGTGGTAAAAATAGTCTGGGGAGGAACAGAAAAAATCGAGACTGGCAAAGAATGAGTTACAGACACGGGTGACGAAAAAGAAGCCAAGGGTACTTCATCTAAAATAGGGCCTAAACCTTCACTACCAAACCTGCTAAAAAAAGCTGCTCAACAAAGTCATGAGCAGCAGCGGGAGCAACGTCATCATCAAGAATCAGTACCGGAGTCTCAGCAGACTCGGTAAGAGGAATAGAACGACGGGGGGATACCTCTGCTTCATCATCAGAAATGATGCGTCTTCGAGCTCGTGGCCTTGTCACCAAAGAGCCCCCGTCTTCCTCCTCTTCAGAGTCTTGTTCCTCAACGGAAATGACTTTTCCAAAGAGATGCGGGAAGCTGTGACTGCCTCGGCAGTGATTCCACGAATAGCAAATCCTGATAAAAAGATGGATTGAAATTAGTGCAATAAAAAAAAATATATACACGAAAAGATGAAATAAAATAAAAGCTCTTACCATGAGTTTTTACTTTCCAACCAAAACGGTTAGAAAGTGTCTTCCAAGACCTACCATCCATTAGTGCGGTCCTCAATAATTTGTCTAAAAAATCACGGAAATTGGGAACGTCTTCCACAACTCCCATGGTTGCTAAAAAAAAGCAAAATTATAAAAGTTGACAAACTTCAAGAAAAAAGGTACGAGAAAGTTAAAAGGACTTACGTGCAAAATTCCACTTCTCAGGGAAACATTATCATCACCCACTAAACCAACAGTGGGGGTAGCAACAAACCTGGCATAGCAGCCATAGTCTTTGTCATCCTCAGGGCTCACCAAAACTCTTTTGCTCCTGGATACTAGTGTGAAAACACCATTGCGAAAGAGTCTAGGGGAGTAAAGGTGAATCAAATGAGGGAAAGTAAAGGGAACACCGGCTGTGTTGGTCAAATGCCTCAAATAGGCAACAACCCTCCACATGATTGGGAACAAACATCGAAGAAACGACAGAACTCAAGAATAACAGGGTCAATAGATGGTCCAAACCCTAAAGTGAAAGGGTATGTATAAACAAAAGAAAACCTGGTTATGTAAGAGGTGATTCTTTGATTTGGACTAGGGATAATAATAGGAAAATCACTACTCCAATGACAGTCTCTATGAACTACAGAAATCAAACCTTCTGTAATTTGAGTGGGATAAATATCAGCACGATCTAAACCAGAGACTTGGTTCCTAAGAGATTCTCTGTCATGATAAAAAGATAGTTCCATAGGAACTATCTCCTCTACTGTAGGCTCACGAAGAGGTTCAGAAGGTTCCTTACCTATTGAAGAAGATCTTTGTGAAAGTGAACCCCTAGTTCTAGAAGAAGGGCCAGAACTAGGTAAAGAAGTGGAAGAACCGCGAACAGATCCTAAATTACGAAGCCTACCTCCCCTTCTGCTTCTAATGGGGGCATTAGGGAAGGTATCAACTATGGGAACCCTTCTAGGGTTAGAATTTAAAGAAGACATGATGAAGAAGGATGATACGATGAAGAAGCAAACAGGGATTTGAGAGATTGAATATTCAGTCTTTATGTGGAAAAGATAAAGAAAGAAATTATATTTATATTGATAAGCGACCGCCGAAGGAAAAAGTGTAATGATGGAAGTACCATAATAATGATAATTGACGCTTCGTGAATAGTGGAGCCATGAAAAAGCCTTAAAAAGGGATGCAAAATTGCAGAACTAATAAAAAGGTGACACATGTGAAGAGCATTAAATAGAAGTGACAATTGAAGCGTCAATTTTGTCATAGCATTAATGGTGACAAAAATTCTCGTTTTAATGAAATCCACTTCCAAATATTCAATTGATGAATAAATGGCAAATGAGGGGACTATCTGTGTTGGGAAAAATTGAGTTTACATATTAAAGTGGAATAAAGATGACGTGTCAAGACACGTAGACTAGTCAAAGAGTTACAGCTGGCAAAGAGACACGAGTTGCAACAGATACGAGCAAAGGCAAAGGAAGAGGCACGGACATATATTCAAAGGACTCGGCGCCCGTATCTATTTAAGTCATTTAGGTCCAGGAATCAAGGAGAATGAATCTGACAATATATAAGAGTACGGATACAGTATTTAGTGAGCATTAAATACCGAATACGTTAGAAAATCTGTATTAAATACAATGATTGTGTAACGTAGCATTCAATGTCTTTAATTACTCATAATAGCCTTATTATGACAAGGGCAAAACGCATATCTCCCAAATAGCTATAAAAGGGAGATAACTGATCAATTGTGAGGACACGAAATACTATCTGAATATATTGATTTACTTGTTTTTCTTCTAATTATATTATTGCTAGTCAAATTACTTTCTTTCATAAATTCTTTTGATTATCAGTAACCCGAGCTCTTCTAAATTAAATCTTTGACCAAAATCCCATTTTTTGGTTAAACACTATCATTTCTGCTTCTTTCTGCGGTGTGTTTAGTGTAGAGAATCATCGCTTTATACTTGTCAGCAACTTCGTTGAATTTATTAGCTGCTCATGTAGTTTATTGGTACTCTCTGATTTTGGTTTCTAGCCTCCTTTCCCATTGGTAAATAGATACTGTTGAAAAAATGAACTTTGTTTTGGAAGAAGAAAAGACTTTGGTTTTTGTGATACAAGGATTATCTTAGTTCATGTATTAGGAAATTATTTTAATGATACATGTATTGTTTTGTTCATGAACTAGGGAGGAGGAAAAACTTTAGTAGTATTAATTAAGGTACACGTGGAGTTGAGAGCTAGCTCACTTGGTGAACTCTTTGCCTTCTGCAGTTGAGGTAGAGGGTTCAAACCCCATCAGTAAAGTAGCATGCCCTTCCCCTTCCCCCCTCCTTCCTCCCCTGATGTAATTATTTTTTTTTATTTATAAAAAAGGGTACATGTAGTAGACTAGGTACTTGTTAGGAAAAAAACTCATAAATACCTATGTAGTTTAACCATTTTATGTAAGCAAGTAGAGTGAAGTAAAGAAGAATCATTTCCTCACTTGTCTAAAAAGAAAATTTGAGAGATTGAGAGTTTTCTCCTCCCCGAATTTCCAAAGATACATCCTCATTCACAATGAATATCCTTATACTAGCATGACTGAATGTCTGATGGTTTCAACCGAGGCATCAAATCCTCTCTCGCTCAGTGATCCTTTGCTTGACAATATGTTGCATTTCAGGTATCGTCATTTAGGGTCATTTGCCCCTTTAGGTGGGGAGCAAGCAGCAGCAGAACTTCCTGGAGACTGGGTTTCTATGGGCCATAGCACACAGTGGCTATGGTACTCCGTGTACGCTAGGTAATAGTTGATCGCTTTCTTGAACATGACTTGGTTCTGATATTATATCCTTCAGCAATGAAAGAGTCTAAATCCGGTAGCTTTATATGCATTTCAGCAAGCAAGTTAGCTGGCGCACGAGGTATTTAGTGGTTGCTGATTGGGCAAGAAGATACATTCTCGGGAGAGATTCAAGCCGAATTTGATGTGCTCAACCCCATTTAGAAGGTGGTGCTTGTTTTCTACTGTTTTGCTGGCATGCTTCGTGGCTTTTTAATGTTTATGACACTATCCGGTTACAGCAGTTCAAGCCGGACATCAGTTTATGTTGTTTAAGAATGTACATATCACTTGCGTATGAATCACATTCGATCAGTTCCTGGAGAAATACACTGAATGTTGCAGATTTGATTGTATAAACTTGTTGTTCTAGTTTGTAATTGATTGAGATTTGAGGCTCCAATATTGTTTTAAAGCAGAACATAACATGCTAGACATTGAGATCATCCATACTGATAACTTTTGCCTTTTCTTGTGTTGTTGAAACTTTGATAATGGTTGCTTTGCTATCTGCTTTTTATGCAACCTCTCTCTGTTCCCCTTCAAAAAAAAAAAAAAAGAAAAAAAAAAGATTACTTATTCCCACTGCAACTTAAGGCTCGACTTCACTACTATCATTGAGGATGCCACTTGTAATATTTTTGTGAAAATGTCATTTTCAGAAAAATATTACATGTAGAGATGTGAGAGGTTAATCATGGCAAGGCTAGAGGAAGGGTAGAGAGAAACTTAAGAAGAATTGGAGAGAGGTGATTAAATAGAATATAGCACTACTTCAGCTTACCGAAGATATGAAACTTAAGAGAATTGGGGAGATGTGATTAAACAGAACATAGCACTACTTCAGCTTACCGAAGACATGACCTCGCTAGGAAGGTGTGGAGATCGAGAATTAGGGTTGTGCGCTGGCAGGTAGTCGAAAGTTTCTCCTAGTCGTACCATCAGTATTAACACTATTCTTGTAGTTTCGTATTCCTAGATCTTTGTTATTACACATTGTGTCATTTGCTTCCTATGTCTTATTACTTTTTTGTTGTTGTTTGTTCGTTGCGCCCTTTTCACTATTCTTGAGCCGAGGGTCTATCGGAAATATCATCTCTAACTTCATAAGGTGGGGGGTAAGATTTGCTTACACATTACCCTCCCCTGACTCCACGTGGCGAATTTCACTAGGTTTGTTGTTGTTGTTGTTGATCTATAAACATATGTATAAATTTAGCAAAGAGCCTAAAGGGGCCAGGCACCCACTCCTTTTACGTGGGTTCGCCCTTCCAATGTGATGGAATTTTTTTTTTATTCACACATGATGTTTACACCAAACTAATGAACATGTGATGTCTTATACATGTGCTTTTATCACATGTAATTTCTTATACATGTGCTATTATGTGTTAAAGCATAACCAATCGTGTGGGTACTAATACTAGTTATTTAAGAATACCACAAATCTACTTCTACTTAGAGTAATTATCAATTTATAAGCTAATTACCAGTATTATATTATTATTTAATATAATTATTACAAATACAGTTTCACTTAGTGTAATTATCAATAGTTTATTATAAGCTGCAAAATAATCTTAAGGATATTTCTATGAAATAGCATCTACGTGGTGTGATTATCAATTTTCAATAGATCATCGGCCAATCCACTTGTACTTAGTGTAATTATCAATTTATAAGCTAATTGTCACTAATACATTTCTACTTTATGTAATTATCAATTTATAAGCTAATTAATCGCTAACATTTCTTATTGATATTACTAATACACTTCTACTTAGTGTAATTCTCAGTGCATAAGCCAATCAATCAGTAATAGTTCTTAAGACTATACTAATACACTTGTACTTAATTAGTATAATTATCAATGTATAGGCTAATGAATCACAAGCATTACTTCATGATACCATTAATTTTACTTAACGATACCACTAATAAACCTCTATTTACTTTAATTATCAAACTAAAGATAAACAATCACAAACATTTCTCACAAATAGCATTAATACACTTCCATTTAGTGTATAATTATCAATGTATAGGCTAATCAATCACTAACATTACTTATATAAGGATGTCACTAGTTCACTAATACTTAATGTTATTATCAATGTATATAGGCTAATCAATCACCAGCATTACTTACATATATATTATTAATACACTTATATTTTGTGTAATTATCAATCTACATACTAAATACAACTAATACACTTTTGCTTGTATATTATCAATGTGTATGATAATCAATTATTAACGTTACTTAAGGATACCATTAATACACTTCTACTTAAAGTAATTATCAATTTATAAGATAAACCATCACTAATATTTCTTATGAAAACGACTAATATACTTCTTCTTAGTGTGTAATTATTAATGTATAGGTTAATCAATGTAGTTAAGGATACTACAAATTCACTTTTACTTTGTGTAATTATAAATTACTAAGCTAATTACCACTAATATATTTTTAAGTTGTGTAATTACCTTCACTTAGTGTAAATTTCAATAAATAGACCACTAAGATTTAAATAAATACTTACCGAGGGGTTTACCGACGGTCTCCCTCGGTATGGTGTAATAAAAAATAAAAGATAATTGTAATAATACACCGCTTCTTTCTAATGGCCAGAGCACAATTTTCACTAAGGTAATTTAAAATATAAAGAAGTAAATTTGTGAAAAAGTTGGCAAAACAAAATTCTACCCGTGAAAGCACAACTCAAGTACATTATTACAACTTTAATGATATAGCTATTAATTTGTTAGCCGTATATTATCAAAATTACTTTATCAAATCATTTTAAGTAAGTTATAAGATTCAGTATGATTCTTTTTTTAATTTTTAGTGAGCACCGACATAACCGCACCAAATTACACGAGCTAAGTGATAAAAATTGAAGGTGAAGGGACATAGGGGACCATCAAACCTAGTTTCGTGTAAATATATCCATGCATCGAGGTTCACATATAGAAACAAAATACAAGCATTTGTGGTGAAACTAGCCAACTAAACCATGTCCACATATTTGTTTTATAAATTTAGCCACTAATAAGCCAAGTGCAACAACTTAATACTATAGTACAAAGCAAAAGCTGAAAATAGAAACAGGTTTTGATCGCACTAGCTAGTTCAAGGGTTTGACTAATAAAGACAGTATCACCACCGTCGGAATGAGGAATTCTCCGGCAATTTCCACGGCGGAATCCGGCAACAAAAGTGGAATTAGATGGTTTTCCGGCATGGTACACGCCGGGAAGAAGGCATACATGGATAATCAGAAGCCGAGGCAGGTTGAGAAGGCTGAGAAAGTCATGCATCTTATCTGTTGGGGACCCAAATAGTTCATTTCTTAAGTAAGTAGTGCTTACGTTCGAATCTTGAGAATAAAGAATCTTTTCAGATGAAAGCGGTTTTCTCTTTAGTGAGTTTATATATTACAATGAAATCTGAACAATCGAATTAATGACTTCAATTATCGAATGGTTAATAAAAAAAAAAAGATTGTGTTTATAACTTTTTCCTTTTTCCCCCCTTTTTGGGGTTTGTTTTGCCCTTTTTTCCTGTCTTATTATCATCTCCTTTTCTTTCTTTTTTTTGTTTGCTTTAGTTAGTATGGCCTAATGGGAGAGTCGAAATTATTATGTTATTTGCTCTCTAGGAGAGTTTGTAATTATATATTAAATGTTGTTAAAAATATGTTTTGGTGGGAGATGTTTCGTCTAAATTTTCCAAATTGAACCAATATGTGATATTCTCAGAAATACAAAATGGAAATCAATCCAGAATACTAGTAGTAAATTTCTAACTTCATTTTAGACGATTCGACTTGATTTGAGTTATTAGTTCTGTGGTTTTACAACTTAATTAGATAGAAAACCTTCACCTAAAAAAACATAAACATATAGTTATGACCGAACACCACCTCATAATAAACCTAAGAAATAATGAATTCAGTTGTGAAATTGAGAAGAAAAGAGGCAAGTGAGGACAATTTTATGGGTCGTCGATAATCAAAGAGGTAAGGTCTGCGTATACTCTATCCTCCCCAGATTCCACTGATGAAATTTTACTAGGTGGTTGTTGTTGTTTTTGTTGATAAGCAAAAGAGGGCCTTTTAGTGTGTGTGTGTGTATATATATAGTAGTTTATAGACAAATAAATTAATTTGATCCCATGATAATGAATAAGTTAGACAAACATAAAATACTTAGCATTGATATGGAGACAGAACAACAGAAATCGTAATATCGGGAGCAGGGCTTCCGAGGACAATAATCACGATATAAATGAGCAAAAAGATAAAATTATATTGAGCTCTGAACAAAGTGTAGCATATGTTTGTAAGAAAATTCGTGTCATTTACAATGATAATATTGCTCATTATTATAGTTGCACCTAGGGAACAAGGTCCTAGGATCAAGCCCCTCTTTAATGACAATTATGAGGGCTATTGAAGAATGTGTAACAGTAGGCAATGAATGTCATATTCTCTATAACAGTCCACATACTTAATGCTGTAGAAAATTCTTTATTAAATGCTACCGGGTGGCAGACAATTATTTCACCTTCATGAGGATCATTTTCTTCGATAACAGACGAGATCGTTGCCTTCGGATCCGACTTCCTTCTATCTTCGGCTCTATGTCACTTTCTCATGTGATCATTTAATATAAACACATTTTACCCTATACATATGGCCCCCTTGCTTTTCGATGGCATAACTTTGTGTCAACGGGAAGTTGGTAGAAATACCTTTTTTGGCGGAAAATTCTCTGGCCCCCGCCGAAAAGTTTCTGACAGCTGATTAGACCCATGTCTCTTTGCATTTAATGCCCTGAACACGCGTCATCCCACGATTCATCACCACTTTTGTCGGTTATCGAGGTAATTATGGCCACGATTTTAGCCGCCTATTCCGTTACTTATACGTATCAAACTTCTCCATTTACACTTCATAACCTTCCAAACTCTCTCGAACTCTTTTTGTTTAACTTATACTTGTCCTCAACTTTCCCAAATCTTCTCTTTTAGTGAAGACCCTTTCCTCTTTTTTGATAGCAATGGCCTCTTCTTCCAGAAACCTTAGTTCTTCAAAGAACAAAGGTAAAGTTGATGACATTGCTCCTCTTACGGTGAGCACCATCATCCCAAAGAGTCTTATCAAAACGAAGGACTTCAAAGAGAAGTTTCCTACCGTTAATTCACGCACGTGGGTTGTTGGCATGTATCCTTCTTCTATCCGTCCTTCCAGCATCCCTGTTGTGAAGGAAAACCGACATTGCCTTGATTTGAACATCATCGCTCGTGACCTGTCGGAGTCGATAATCTTACCCAAGAAAGGTTTTACGTATTTTTATATGTATCCCTTCACTTTGGGGCCATTCTCTTTGAACTGGGAGCTTAACTCTGTTATCACGGAGCTCTGCATCCGTTATC